GCCTTTGTTTCGTTGTTCATTTAATTTTTTTTCTTCTCTAGAAAATAGAGCTAGCATTTAAATATTGATCTTCTTTCCAGATATCTTACTTGTTATGTGCCCTTGGAGATGGTCACCTCTTGAACTTCCAATTGAACATGAACACTGGTGAATTAACAGATAGGAAAAAGGTTTCTCTTGGGACCCAGCCCATTACACTCCGTACATTCTCATCCAAAAGTACTACACATGTATTTGCTGCTTCAGATAGGCCAACAGTAATTTATAGCAGTAACAAGAAACTGTTGTACAGCAATGTGAATTTGAAAGAAGTTAGTCATATGTGCCCTTTCAACTCTGCTGCTTTTCCAGACAGGTAAATATGTTGTTACTCGAGCAGTGTGGCCTGCGTCATTTAGTATCTCCATATATAACTTGTCAATTTCCACTTTAATTGAAATTATATTCTTGTGTTTTTCCATCTACATTTCTTAGATTTGCTGTGTGACATTAGAGATTTCACTCCATCTTTATCATCCATGGGGTTCAGAACTAAGATAGACCTAGTTCTTTCTATAATACAGTTGCTATCACAAATTTAGTATTGGGAGTGTCTCCTACTGATGATGGCTTAAGTGTTAAGTGATAATATTTGATATACACTTGGAACACCTGACTCTGATTTCCATGATCTTATGTTTGCGAGCAGCAATCAGAGAAATAAAATTGAACTTTGCTCTTTTCTTAAAAATAAATGTGGCTGAACAGCAATTATTTCTGGTTTTATTTTGTGAACAGCCTTGCAATTGCAAAGGAAGGTGAACTTACTATTGGCACCATTGATGATATTCAGAAGCTCCACATCCGCTCTATCCCGCTTGGGGAACATGCACGTCGTATTTGCCATCAGGAACAATCTCGGACTTTTGCCATCTGTAGTTTGAAAAACCAGCCAAGTGCAGAAGAATCTGAAATGCACTTCATTCGTTTGTTAGATGACCAAACATTTGAGTTCATGTCAACCTACCCTCTTGATACTTTTGAGTATGGTTGCTCAATTCTCAGCTGCTCCTTTTCGGATGATGTTAATGTATATTATTGTGTTGGGACAGCATATGTTTTGCCTGAAGAAAATGAACCTACCAAGGTATAGCATATATTATATTATATGTATATATTCATTTGCTAATATAAAAATCTCATCTATCTTCTGAAAAAAACCTGATCTACTGTGCTTGCTAATTTTTTTTCTTTTTCGTCTTTGTACAAATGGTTATCAATATTGTATCTTGAATTTCATCTATCGTATAATTTAGGGCCGAATACTGGTATTCATGGTTGAGGATGGAAAGTTACAGCTTATTGCTGAGAAAGAAACTAAAGGAGCTGTCTACTCTCTAAATGCCTTCAATGGAAAATTGCTTGCCGCTATTAATCAGAAAATCCAGTTGTACAAGTGGATGCTGCGAGATGATGGTACTCGTGAGTTGCAATCTGAGTGTGGACATCATGGACACATACTTGCCCTGTATGTACAAACTCGTGGAGATTTCATTGTTGTTGGTGATCTGATGAAGTCAATTTCCCTGTTAATCTACAAAGTAAGCAAGTACATCACTTTCATATCTCTCTTATTAAATTGATTCACTATGTTTTCTCAGCTATTGAACAATATACCTCCTCTTGATGGGTCTCGAGTTGATTAAGCAAAGATTCAGCTTCTCTCATTTATATTTGTTGCTGAATCCATTATTGACAACTTGACATGAACATTTGTCATCTCTTTGCAATCAATTAAGTAATCTGTCGTTCTGCACATGTTCGTGTATAATTCATTTTCTAGTAATGCTGATTGACGCAACTGCTTTTCTGACTTTAGCACGAGGAAGGTGCTATAGAAGAGCGGGCACGTGACTATAACGCAAATTGGATGTCAGCTGTTGAGATTCTTGATGATGACATATACCTTGGTGCTGAAAATAACTTCAATCTCTTCACAGTTCGGAAAAACAGTGAAGGAGCCACAGATGAGGAACGAGGACGTCTAGAGGTTGTTGGTGAATACCACCTTGGGGAATTCGTCAATAGGTTCCGGCATGGTTCTCTTGTCATGCGCTTGCCAGATTCCGATGTAGGTCAAATTCCAACTGTTATTTTTGGCACCGTCAATGGTGTGATTGGAGTCATTGCCTCGTTGCCACATGATCAGTACATATTTTTAGAAAAGCTCCAGTCGAATCTAAGGAAGGTGATAAAGGGTGTGGGTGGGTTGAACCATGAGCAATGGAGGTCGTTCAATAATGAGAAGAAAACTGTTGATGCCAAAAATTTCTTGGATGGAGATCTGATCGAGTCTTTTCTAGATCTCAACAGAAATCGGATGGAAGAGATCTCAAAATCAATGAGTGTTCCGGTGGAGGAACTTTGCAAAAGAGTTGAAGAACTTACAAGGTTACATTGATTTGATTGGCATTTTAACTTCACTTTTCTCTTACTTCTGGTTTCTCCATTGTGTAGCCTTTATACAAACCAATTTCGTGAATAGTGCATGGCAAGTAGTGAATGTGTTTCTTTGTGGGAACTGAGACGCCTGTATATTATAGTCTTTTGTGTACTTAAATTTTTTTTTTCCCTTCCTTCTATCCTTTTGAATAAGCCGAAGTTGCGAATCATGCCTGCCTGCCTAATTAGGCTTAGAGTTTGCTCTTTAAATCGTGTAAATGTAATGGTTTGTAAGATTTGCTTTTTGTTGCAAGAAAGTGAAAAAGATTTCGGGAAATATCGAGTTTTCTAAGTAACAATCTTCCCAATAGGAGAAAAGAGAAACAACCGTATTTTGTCCTTCATTAGAGGTATTCTCTAATTTTTCTTATAACTTCTATTTACAAGTTCATATCAGACTATGGATTAAATACATAAAGAGGTTTGTATTTTTTTTTCCATTGATGTTCATTGTAAAATAGAAAAGTTGTTTCGTTAAAAAATTTTTTTGGAGAACTTTGAAAGATAAAGCTTTGGTCAAGAAAAAAGAATAAAACATGACAATGAAAATGTTTTAAAATTTTTCAAAATTTTGCATTCTAATGTTGTATGCTAATTTCTAAGTATAGATTATGTCATTACCGTTGTTGTATGTGTATGTATGTATATATATATATATATATATTTTTTTTTTAATTTTCTTTAAAATAAACATTCTAAAATATTAAATGTAGTAAATATAATAGTAATTTTTTAAAACCTTTTTAAATAGATTATGTCATAATAGTAGTACGGGACAAAAGCCTATAAAAATGTCTTCTCAACCATCACTAAATGGGAAGAGATGAATACCCATGCAGTAACTATAGACTACTTAATGAAGACTAAAAAATTTTCAAACTAAAACTGAAGTATAAGGGATTAAAAGCTAATATAATAATAACATAAAATAAAAGAAAAATCAGAGTACTTCCAAGTGAAATTACATATACAAAATGGTTCAAGAGCACGAATCTGACAAGATTCAAAAAAGTAGACATCTTTTTCCAAGTTCCCAATTTGTTATTACTTCAAATCGTATTTCTCGATCTAAAATTTTCAAAGACCATCAAATTAGTCATTTTCCATATTGAAGGCACCGTGAAGCCTGGAATTAAAAAAACCGAACATGAAGCTGCTACTAGCAACAAATTCCAGTCTGATTTAATGCACAAAATATGTGAGGAATTCAAGATGAGTGCAAGCATACTTCAAACTGCATCTATTGGAATTAACTTGACCCTTGACGATGAGCCTGTCCGTATTCGTAAAAATCAAAAGGTCTAGGCACGAAAAGGAAGATTCAGCTGTTTTAAATCTAAAAACAAAATTCAGCTACTTTTTTCATTCATCCGTGAAGCTCAAGTAATTCCAAGGGAATTACAAATGAGGAACAGTGTTAAAAAGTAAACTAACCAACTTTCATGGGTGAATAACTCACCCATGATCCACTATCTCAATCGCTTAAAGGAAGAAATTTACTCTTCTTTTTTCCAGAAGGGAATTACGAGTACACGTATTAGTTATTTAGAATTGATAAAGGTGAATCAAACCATGTAAAAGCTACTCTTACATCAGCAATTGCCATCGGAATCATATCAGCTTATTCAACAAACCATGCAGGGCCTTTCATCTGGTATTTTCCTTAAACCTAGCTGCAATAGTTTCATATTTAGAATAGTCCCATCTTTTAGGAAGCTACCACACTTGCTTTTGTAGTCTGATTACAAGAATGAAAAGCCTATAACTAAATAGTAATTCAAAGAGCACAATGTTATAAACTAAAACTAAAGATTCCAAGAACAAAAACCAATATCTCCCGAGCAAACACTGCAACCATTAAAACCAACCATTCACTGATAACATCATGTCTGAAAAAGAGATCCACCACAGAAAAGGAAGAACATGCTCTGTGCTTCTGTCTGCAAGCAAGGCTCAAGATTGACTTTCATGTTCAGCCCTTACAGAACTGTCAAGAATACATCTAAGGATCTCTTGTAATGGCAGTGAATTAGCCTTTGAAGAAAGTCTGCATGTCTTGCCCAGACTAAAAAAAGTCAGCATGTCTTGCCTGGATTATATTCAAAAACTAATTAACAGGTTTGTCACTATTCCTCATTTATGTTCCATCATCACCATGCTTTAATTCATAAAATGTAACTGGCATACTTTTGCTACATTTTTCCAGTATTTTTAGGAGAGGATGGTGGAAAATGATAAGTTACTATAACAGCTTATTCAAGGCATTAATTCCAGATTGTTCATAAGAAACAATGGACAGATACCAACCTCAGAATAGACAAAAGATTCCTCAAGCCCCTGCCTCAGGAGATTTGGCCTGTCTTTGCAACTCAGCATCAGCATTCCTCAGAAATTGGTCCCAACCACTCCCTGAGCTAGTATCTATGTAATCATATGGGACTGCTGTCTTTAACCCTGGCCGAACAGCGCACTGGCTCTCCACAATTCTAAATTCTGGAGCACCACCTCCTTCCCTAAAGCTCTGCTCCAATTCCTCCCAAGTAAACATTAGTGGTAATGTAAAAGAGCCCCATGGATTGAAATCAATAATCTTGACCCGCTCATCCTTTGTGATGTATACATCAAAAGTATAATTTCTTGATTCAAATTTCAGTCTCACATTATTCTCAAAAAATTCCTGAATCAAAATGTTGAAATTCCCTCTCTTCTCCAACAGAATGGGGTAGAATGTAGTAGTCTCACGTTGGGAAATTCCAACCAGCTGCTGACCTCGGACAAAGCAACGGAATTCCCTCTCTGGCAATAAAGATGGGTACCACTTGCGCAGGGCAAGGAAGAAACTCGGTGGTCCAGACAAGGTTTTGTCACTGCATGAATCATATGCATAACACAAGTCATGGATCACTGAGTCAGATGATCGTAATAAAAGAGCAATCTCGCTGAAAGAAGTGCATCGCAGGGTTCCTGATGTGCTAATCCAAGCAGAATCTTTTGGTGCGCTCCAGTTTAGCTTAGGGAAGACTGCACCCCCAAGTATTTCAATTGACTCTTTAATCTTCAGTTCAAGCTCAGGGAAAGATGGAGGGGTCGACAATTCCGCTTCATCTTCTGATCCTTCTGACACCTGATAGTCGTCTTCTTCTTCAGGATTATGGATTCTGTTAGGTAGAGCATCTTCCTTCGTAACAGAAACAGGAAGAAGGAAGGGCCCAGAATCATCAACAAGGTACTGGACAAAAGATTCAGGAAGTTCATGGATTAGGGTTCTAATAGACACGGATTTAAATTTTGGATACCATTCCTGAATCTGACATCGGTTGAGTTCTTCTTCCTTCATTACTGAGGGTAAAGACTAAAAAGAGTTGTTCCTGTAAAATAATTCAGAGTTCTAGAAATGCTGAAAATCCTTCCACGTGCACCTGGTAGAATGGCAAATACGCCCCAAAAAGAACTATTTACTGTCAAGATTCAGGAATTTGATAAGCTATTTGCAGCAACCTCACATGAAATCAAATCATATGCAATGCGAACAATTTGAAAAGAAAAAACAAAAGAAAACAAAAAAACAAAAACACGGCAGGGTCAGGGCAGCAAATTACAACTGATGAAACAGAATGGCAAGGAAATTGGTCATAGACCAGGAAGGTTTAGACACCTATTTTACTGTCCAAATTATTATTGCGTTTTGACAGACAATATTTCTTTTTTTTTTTTTTTTAACTTCGTTCTTGGCTTGTCCTAGTTAGTGCTTTAAACGTATGTGTCAATTGTCATCCACTACAAGTTTTAATTTGGGCCTGAGTAAGAGTTTCCAGTTTAAGTGCTTTAGTTGCATGTCATCCACTACGGTAAAACATACAAGAATAAAAAATTGTTTTCGACTGTTAAAGAAATGCTAAATTAGGTTAATAAATATAAAGGTCCTTTATAATCAATTATCTATTTTTTTTTTCCATTCTAAAAAAATAGTATATATAAAACTGTAATATTCAACAAAATATACATTAAATCATTCTTAGAGCCTAAATTGAAGAACACTTAACCTCAGCTACAAACCTTATTCGGTTTTCATTACTAAAATAAACCAAAAAAAAAACATCCTAAAAGGAGTACATAGCTGGTCCCTGTAGACCAGTCGCCAACCTCCGCTAAAGCATGCAAGCAACTAAAGATGACAACATAGGCAGGCAAAATGGATCTTACACAATGAAGATAGACATACTAAGATGTCATCACCATCAATCATCAAATCCGTTTTGACAAATCGCAATAAGGACAAAGGCAACAAAAAATAAAAATGAAATAAAATAAATTTGGAAACTTCATTACATTGGCGGCAGGTGCACATTATTAGAGTAAAACATTTCCGAGCAAGTTGAAGCAGTCAAGATACCACTCAATCCTGCCCTTGAGAGTGAAATAAAAGGAAAAAGGAAAGCATTGATTTAACCAGCTTCTAGAAACATCACAAACTACTACCATTTGCAAGGAAATTCCATCAAACAAGAAAAACA